AGGACAAACAGATCTGCAGATGATGCTGTTAACGTCGGACTGCAATATATACTGCACCACCTCGACTCCCCAGGGACGTACGCTAGGATCCTGTTTGTTGACTTCTCCTCAGCGTTCAACACCATCATACCTGAACTCTTACATCAGAAGCTCACCCAGTTCTCAGTGCCGGCCTCCACCTGCCAGTGGATTACCAGTTTCTTGAGTGATAGGTAGCAGCTTGTCAGATTGGGGAGCATTTCATCCAAACCCCGGGTCATCAGCACTGGTGCTCCTCAGGGGTGTGTCCTCTCCCCACTGCTCTTCTCCCTCTATACCAATGACTGCACCTCAAAGCGCCCGTCTGTAAAATTTTTGAAGTTTGCCGATGACACATCAATCATTGGTTTGATCCGGGATGGGGAAGAGTCTGCCCACAGACATGAGGTGGAGCAGCTTGTCAAATGGTGCAGTCAAAATCACCTGGAATTAAATCCCAAGAAGACTGTGGAGATGACAGTGGATTTTAGGAGAGGCCCCCACCCCCCACTACCCCCAGTCACCATCCAGAATGATACAGTGTCCTCTGTGGACTCCTTTAGGTTCCTGGGTTCTACCATCTCAAGGGACCTAAAGTGGTCCACCCACATTGACTGTGTCTTAAAAAAGGCGCAGCAGAGGTTATACTTCCTAAGACAGCTAAGGAAGTTTAACCTGTCAAAGGAGCTGCTTATCACATTCTACTCAGCCATCGTTCAGTCTGTCATCTGTACCTCCATCACTGTCTGGTTTGGATCAGCAACCAAACGGGACAGGGCCAGGCTGCAACGGACAATAAGGACTAGGGGTGGGCGATATGGAAAAAAATATCATATCACGATTTTTTTTAGGAAAATCACGATCACGATTTTTTATCACGATTCTTTTTCAAGTTGGTTTTAATATTTTGCAAGTGGCTGTTCATTACAGCCAAACTAATGTCCCTATGTTAAAAACAAAGCCTTAGGTAACAAAAGAAAAAAGAAAGCCACACATTTAGGCCAGTGGCGAAGATAAAAATCTTTATCATTATTTTCTTTGTTATTAAAAAAATAAGACAAGATAAACATTACACAAATTAATATTCATATTAAATAAATAGTGCTTTATTTTTTCAGATGCATTAGGTGTATTTAGCAGTAGCATTGAAGTAATTAAATGAACAAATATGAAATTAAAACACTACATAGACTTCACTGAATAAATTGATTCTTATTAAAGATATATTAAAGTTCTCAGTCAGTGAGTGATTTTCTCCTTGTGTTTTTTTATTATTTTTTTTTTTTTATTAACACTAAAGGGATAGTTCCCTCAAAAATGAAAATTGTCTTAATTTACTCTCTCAAGATGTTTTAAACCCGAATAAGTTTCTTTCTTCTGTTGAAAATAAAAGTTATTTTGAATAATGTGGGTAACCGAACAGTTGCTGGTCCCCTTATAGTTTTTTTTATAGGTTCTCTCCTGGAAGTTAATGAGGACCAGCAACTGTTTGGTTACCCACATTAAAAAAAAAAGTCTTTTGTGTTCAGCACAAGAAAGAAATTAATACAGGTTTGGAACAACATTAGAGTAAGTAAATAATGACGGATATTTTTTTTTTTTTTTTTTTTTTTTTTTGAACTATCCCTTTAAGGACAAGCGGCAGTAGGCTACTATTTATTCCTGTTGCTTTTAGACCAGCACGCGACGCGTTTAATATAGACGCATATTACACCTGATATTCTCTCAAATGTTTGCTTTCACTTTAGACATAGCCTGTTTATGTAAACATTGTGTGTATTTAACAGTATTAGCTTAATAAGACTCGAGAGATAACTTAGTCCAGTATTCAGGCGCTGTTTGACAGACTTCTAGTGCCTGTGAGCGTCGGGGGTTATGCGGTCAGGAAAGCGCACGTTAGAACAGCGCATCAGCGCGTGAATTAAATGTTTAACCGGCAAGGCTTATGCAAATAATGAACTTTTGTGAATTGCGGTGTCCCGTACCTATTCCTTAACGTGTGATCATGTGTAGGCTACGTCGCGTTGTACAGTTGAGAGACGGAGGCGCCAGAACTGAACTGATAGAATGCACTGTAACACGATACTACGATATTTCTTCAAAAGCAGATCGTGGAGACATTTTAATCGTCCACGATTAAAAATCGTCATATCGCACACCCCTAATAAGGACTGCGGAGAGGATCATTGGAGCTGAGCTTCCCTCCATCCAGGACCTTTATTTGTCCAGGTTCAGGAAAAGGGTAGGAAAAATCTCTGCAGATCCCTCTTATCCTGGTAATAAACTTAATTCGAACTCCTCCCCTCTGGTAGACGATACAAAGCACTGTATGCCAAAACCAGCCGACACAAAGGCAGCTTCTATCCTCAAGCAGTTACTTTGTTAAATACTCAGAAATTGTGCCTTCCCTTATAATGGACACAGCCAACCAATATTATTCTATCTATCTACCTCATGCCTTGATCTCCTATTGCATGCACTAATTCGTTTATTATCATTGAATGGGCCTGCACTGCTCTAGTTTACTCTATTTAAAATTCTAAGACAACACTGATATTGCACTACCTCCTCTACCCCCTGCACATTGTAATCGTCACTGTATTGCCAGATTAAATCCTGTTTTTTTTTTTTTAGCCTGTTGTAGTTGAGTGTTGTAACTTCAGAGTCTGTCGTTACCAAGTCAAATTCCTAGTTTGTCTCTGCAAACATGGCCAATAAAGTTGATTCTGATTCTGATTCTACAGTGTTTGCCCGCCTTGTACTTATAATGTTCTTGTGGTTTTATTATTGTCTTGTTTCTCCTGTGTTGTGCATCTGTGTGTGTGTTCGAGTCCTGTCCTGCCCAGCCTGAAAATGCACTGACTGCTGGTGACTGGGCTGCTCAATCCTGTGCCCTAGTCTCCTGTCTAGACCTCTGTTGTGGACTGTCTCTAGACTGTGCAACTGTTACACATTGCTACACCCTATTGTCAATAAATTACCATTTACCGCTCATCTCTCTGCTTGGGTCCTGTTATTTCCAGTGGTTCCTGACATCATGAAAGTGTAGGACACCTTCTACCTGTCAAACTTAGGCAATTCAGGTTGTCAATGTTGATATCCGCATTCTCAGACAGAGTGTGTTAACTTTTGTAATCTGTTGCGTCTCCTTAACACACAAAGGTTCCTCCTCATATAGTCTTGTTCCCTTGTGTTTCATTATATTCACCGCCACAAATTTTAGTGGCATGCCGCATGTTTGCATTTACCTTTTTGGTTGTGACATTTTTATATATTCAAATTCTAACCTTTCTGTGGATTTGAGTAGAGGAAATGTGTGGCAGGTCTTTCCGTTGCGCCTTATGTAGTGTGTGTTTGTGTGGTTCAGGTACAGGGGTTGGACAATGAAACTGAAACACTGGCCAATGTTGGAGGTTTCACATCTATATGCCTGGCGGCCAATCTTCAGAGTGAAGCACGGGTGGATCAGTGATGGTTTGAGCTCCAATATCATGACAATCCTGATTGTATTTGATGGACACGACACTGCCGAGGACTACCAAACCCTTCTGGAGGATCATGAGCACCTGATGCTCAAACCGTGTATCAGCATGATCATGCACCAACACACACAGCAAGACTTGTGACAGAAGGGTTTGATGAAGATGAAAGTGACGTTGAACATCTCCCATGGTCTGACAGTCACCAGATCTGAATATTATTGAGGTGTTTTGGAAGAGCGAGTCCACCAGCATCATATAGTGACCTGGACACTGTTCTGGAAGAGGAACGGCTCATAATCCCTCTGGTCACTGTGAAGGACTTCTATCTGTCAATTGGTGCTTTATTTGGATGCAAACTGAGGCCCTCACCATTCTAACAAATTATTGTGTAGTAAAACCAGGTGTTTCAGTTTTTTTGTCCAACCCCTGTATATCCTACGTTTTTGAAAATAGCCAAAATCCTTGTCCTTGTGGGGCCAGTTTTGGTGTAGGTAATTTTACTCTCTTTTAGGGTCATTTTTTTATTATCTGTCTAGGGACTACAGATGAAAAATAGCCGTTTGGCTAATTCTGGCCGATTTCAACACCGAGACAGTCATATTCCTGCAATGGGAACATGAGCCATCCACAAAAGCTGCTTCAGCATGCTGTAAGCCCACGTGATGCAATTGTGACCTTCAGATTCGGACAGGGAACGACCGCATCCAGAAATGCACAGGTGCAATGACATCTTGAAAAAGACGCAAACGCACCCATGTTGCTCTTTTAGGATTTGAAAACTCTCACCAGTGCCGGAGCCCACAGGGGAATGATCGTGGCAACACTGACAGGGATGATGCAGCCTGTACCAGTGAAGAACTCACTCTCTTTGCCCTCAACCGGCCGTCAGACAAACAAACACAAACATAAATTTGATGCTATTAAAACAGCAGTTGAGAGCGGTGCACTGGGAGAGCCTTCCTGAAGAAGCACCAACACTCGCTCGTTGTAATATATCTAGATTCTTCAGAGACATCAACATGAAGACCTATCGGCACCGAAGAACTTATCGGCTTTATAACTGCGCCAAGGGGGCGGAGTGTGAGATGCAAATCTTGCACGCCAATCTGCATTGGCTCATTTTAACAGTACTCATAGATGAAAGGCTCCATAAGCGTCGAACGACTACGTCGAACGTGAACAGCCCATAGGGAACCCAATATTTGTGTGTGCTATTTGGTCATGTGTACTCATATAAAGTTCTGTCTGGCATTCTAAACCAGACAGAGTTATTAAATACTTTTATATAAGATTGTTTCAACAAAGAACACCAATGACCTGCATGTGCATTTCTGCTTTGACAGCATGGCCCTGATTGGAATGTTTTGTATAATATGAAGTCAGTTCTTCATATTATGTCACAGTTCAGAGTTTATGAGCATCACTGATCTTTTTTTTTTTTTTTATTTACATATTTCTATTCTGATTTCATCTTTTATTTGGCATGTTGTTGTGTTGCAGTTGGAGAAGGCAAGAACATGATTCCAATGGACCCAAATGGATTGTCTGATCCATATGTAAAACTCAAGTTAATTCCAGACCCTAAAAATGAGACGAAACAGAAAACAAAAACCATCCGTTCTTCCCTGAATCCAGCTTGGAATGAGTCATTTACATTGTGAGTCTCAACATTTTATTACATCCTGAAATTCAGGATTAATGTGTTATTGGAGTTAGTTTTATGTGCATGAACATTGGATTATTAATTGATGTTTTACCCATTACAAGTCCAAATCAATAGCCTGACTTCGTCATACTCATATTCTAGTCAGAATGTGAGTCTGAAACTTCTTCATAGGGCTTTGATTATGAGGCGTGTCTTAACCGAACCAGGAAAAAAAAAAAAACCTCTGCACTCTGCAATTGGATAGTCGGTAGACGTACAGCCAATCAGAGCAATGCAGTAAGTCAAATACTTTGCATAGCGCAGTTTTCTATAGAACTTACTTATTTTAGAAGTAAAATAAAGAGTGTTGCTTATTTTACTTACTCCTCCATGAGTGCGACCAAAGGAGAAACCACAACCACAGCCTTTTCATTACGTCCCATCTTCTTAACGACCATCGGAGCCAGCTGATAAGTTACACTTTTGCCGAATCAAAAATGAATGCGCTGTAAATTTATTTTACAACAGACGCGACAGTGGATTCTATACATCTCAATTCTCCAGCTCCAGATCATCTGTCCATCATCGTATAAAGCACGCCCTGGCAATCTGATTGGCCCGTTCATTTTTTGACTGATCATAATTTCTCCTCAATGGATCGAGTCCAGACCGAAATTCCCGACCAAAAAATGTTGTGGGCGGGGTTCGGGCTGGCATCCAGGCTACCAAATCAAATGATATAGTAAAGTCCCTGTACAGTCAAAATTAAGTATGTGTTCTGAGTTTGTCACACCACAGTAAAATGTGTTATTAGCCACCCAGTTAAATTTGAATGATATAAAAAGCCGCCAAGAAAGTAAAATAAGCTATCAAAATCTTGAAAAAATAAGCAGTATTCTCTGCTCTCAAACGCTGGGGGCATGTCCGCTGGCTGCGCATAAACCACGCCCACTCACGAGAAAGCTGCCCATGGTGATATTCGGTATTAGGTGATACTGCTTTCAGGACAGGAGGATGAAGGCCGTGGTGGGAGATAGTTGGTTCGCCCCGATTCCCCAGTAACAACGGATTATCGGTGAATCCCAGTTGTCTCCGATGAAAGTTTATAAAACTGTGTAAATGGTCATAATGAGAATGAAAGCGAGGCTGTGAGGGATAGACACTCATCTCTTCAATGGGCTGTACTGTTATTTAATGTGTTTTCGGTTTGTTCTGCTCATGAAACACTGGAAAAATATCTTTCCAAGAAATTTCAGTTGACAAAAAACTCCATAAAATGTAAGCTGTGGAAAATTGTAAGTAATCTAGCAGCTTTATTCAGTTTTTTACAGCAGATGCCATTGGAAACACGGTAAGTCTATCCCTCACAGCCTCTTTCATACCTGTCATGGCGCTGCTCTGAACAAGGTCTAAACAGCACTATAATAATCTAGTCTAGTAGCTTAAGAACTGTTTTTCGAAGGACTAACTGTCCAGTCAAATATATGTATGTAAATGAAGTGAAATGAAGTAAAATATTTCATATTCAAAAAGATAACCTAAACCTGTTTAGAAACCTGCATTTAAGCATTTAGTTAAATATAAGTTTTATATATATATATATATATATTAAAAAACTTTATCATTGTAAATATTAACATGTTATTATTTACAAAAGTAATATAATTTTTATAACAAAAGTGATTAGATAAACAGAAATTGAAAACTGTTTGGAGTTTTTTTAATCTGGATAATATATATTGCTGAAAGAGAGCAGCTGGAAATCCCTGCTTTAGAATATGATGAAGGGAAGTGCTAATGTAATGTTTCATCCTGTATGCTTGTGTGTTCCAGTAAGCTGAAGCCAGCAGATAAGGACCGTCGGCTGTCTGTGGAGGTGTGGGACTGGGACAGAACTACCCGCAATGACTTCATGGGCTCAATGTCTTTTGGTGTGTCCGAGCTCATGAAGTCCCCAGTGTGTGGATGGTAAGAAATTTTAATGTTAATGTGGAGATGATTTGCAAAAGGGGCCGGCAACGTCTGTACTCTGTACTGTCTACGGAGACTGTCCAAATTCAAAGTGGATAGGTCCTTGATGATTTTATTCTATAAATCTTATATTGAGTCGGTTTTAACATTTAGTATGTTATGCTGGTATGGAAGCCTTGGTGTGAAGGCAAAGACTGCTTTGGTGAAAATAGTAAATACTAGCAGGAAGGTCTTAGGAGTTCAGCAGAGTCACCCTACTGACCTGTACAACCAGCAAGTAGTTGGGAAGGCCCGATTCATTTTAATGGTTACCTCACATCCTCTCTATTCTGAGTTTCAGTTTTTACCCTCAGGATTTTCCTTGGTTAGAAGTAACAGGTATAAACATTCATTTATTCCTACTTCCATTTCTTTGTTAAACTTGGGTATGGGGGGAGTACAGTAGGTGGAAGGAAGTAGTTGTGTAGGCTTTGTGTGAGTATTGTGTGTGTGTGCTTATTTTAGTGTTATTTTGTAAAGGTACCTTTTAACTTTTTACTAAAAAAATTATTAATGTGTATTCTAAATTGTCCTTTTGTATGCTGTGTTGCTGTAAAATTAATTGCCCTTCAGGGACATACTGTATACAAATAAACATAACATAACATAAAGGTTGTGTACTATTATGAACTTCTAAAGTCCTGAAAAATGTTTTTGTTCACATATTATATGTTGCTATGATGACAAAACACAATTGTCTTCAGAAGACAAGATGCAGTTGTAATCAAAATAATTTTAACCCCCATTGTAAATCAGGTTTATTGGCAAAAGTTACAGACTTCCAGCTGTTTGCAATGAACAAACCAAACAAAAGTAATTGAAATAGCACAACACAACAAATGTTTCAAATGGTTTCCTCAAGTTCAACTGAAAATGCAACTTTTAATGACTTCTGTAGTCTCAAAATTATGCAACCGCTTCATGGCAAGCATCTTTTGTACCTTTTGCTGTTATGACCTGCTGCAAACGAGATACACGACCAGACACCAGGTTCAAGCAGCGTCTTAGGAGGATTTTATTAGCCCATTCCCCATGAGCAATGGCATCCAGTTCAGTAATATATTATTGGGTTTGCGTGCGACAACTGCCTTTTTCAAATCCCGCTAGAGATTTTCCATGGGGTTCAAGTCAGGTGACTGATGGCCACTGTAAAATCATCCAAGACTTCTTCTGCTACCAAGCCTTGGTGGAATTTGAGGTATACTAGGGATCCTTGTCCTGTTGGAAGGTCCAATAACGCCCAAGCTTCAGCTTCCCCACTGACAGCATGACGTTTTCTCCTAGGATTTCCTGATACTTCAATGAATCCATCTTGCCTTAATTCCACACGCCGCAGGTTTCCAGTGCTAGAGGATGTAAAGAAGAACAGAACAGAATCCTAAAACTTCAAATGAATTTTGCAAATAAACCGATTTGCAATAGGGTTTCAATTATTTTGATTACAACTGTATCGTCTATTGGTCATATGGACTACTTTTAAATGGCCTTTAATAAAGCTTTTTTGTCATTAGAACAAATGTATTTAAAAAGTAATCATATTACTTTATGCTGTTATATAATGGCATATACAGTATATTTTGGGGAAAAAGGTTTGGAACAACATGAGTGCAAGTTAAAAAAAAATTTTTATTTTTGTCTAGTGTTAATGTTCTGAAATTATGTGATGGTATTGTATTGGATGTATTGGTATTATTTTTAAGTATTATTTTGCTTTGGAAAATATATAATGATAGGTGCTTTACCTTCTCAGAATGAACCTTATAGGCAGTAAATGGAACTGTAGATACTTGAAATGTGCTTTGAAGAATACCACAAATAAACAATCACAACTTGTACCATTCTCTTTGCCTGGGATGCAGGTACAAAATGTTAAATCAGGAGGAGGGAGAGTTTTACAATGTGCCCATTCCAGATGAAGATGACGAGGATACTGAGCTCCGACAGAAGTTTGAGGTGACTTTTTATTATGCTTATATGCGAAAAAAAATTCTCTTTTGATTTTTGTTCTTTAGGAAAAATATTTTGGACAAATGAAAAAGAATTGCTTATTGCTAATAATAAGCTTTTTTTAACTAAGCATGAAGGATGAGAATTGAATAATGATTTAATGGATAGAATGTTGGTAAATACCATCAATAATTTATTAGAGCCCTTAGAACTACTACTCACTGCTGAAACTAAAAAGTACTGAGAGACACAGCAAAAGTTATACCTTGTTATATTTTATTAAAAGTAATTAAACAGAGTAAAATTATTTGACCTTCAGATCTGTTAGCTGATTATCTAGAGCAGATCTGCCAGTATGTTATAGCTGTTATTTTTTTATGTATCTGTCAGATATTTTGTTGCAGTGGAAAGATGATTTGAAGATATTAATATTTAATCTACTCGTTGCCTTCCTGAGACGCATACTGTAGCTGTAGATACTTGTACACATAGAAATACATTATAGCTGCCTTGGGGTGGTTTATATCTATGTGACCCATAAAACATTTAAAGCTAGTTGATAACACTAGATGAGAAGCGCACTACCACATCAGTCACCACCAGCTATTAGAATCAGTTTTCTTGTAATTCTTTGTTTTGCCAGATGATGGCAGTAATTTCTTTTCTTGTTATTTTTTCCTGTTTTAGTGTTTGCGGATGGAAATCCCATCAGGATTTGTGCTTTAGGAGCTAAACTAACTTAGTTGTGGTTAGGGTTTAAGTATTGAAAATTACTGTAGATTTACATAGGCTATTCTATTTTATAATATTTATTTTTTTCCTGTGAGTTTCCAGCAGCCATTTCTCCAATATACAGTGTCAAATGATCCTTCAGAAATAATATTGATATTTTTGTAGAAACTGCACTACATTGAAAAGTTCGGGTTAAATAATATTATTTATATCATTTCGTCCCCTTGGAATTATAAGGTTCTATCTGCGTTCTGAACAGTTTTGAGATATTGAGCTTCAAAGTTTTTGCATTCCATATAGGAAAATGTCTATGGGAAACAAGTTTCTTTCAAACATAAACATAACAGGGACCCTAAATGTACAAAACACATCACATAATGTAAATAAATTGTCACAGAATAAGAATATGTGAATAACTCAATTTTGACAAAAATGTCAAATAGAACCTTATAATTCCAAGGGGACGATTTATATTATATTATATATATAATTTTATTTTATAAGAAAAAATACAACTTTTATTCAGCAAATAAATGTTCTTTTGGATTTTCTGTTCATTCAATTTGTGGGTGTTCTATTCATCATTTCTGGGTGATATGTTAACTGTCACTCCCCTTTTTCGAGTTTTGAATTTAATTCAGATTTTTTTTTTTATTTTTTTTTTAAGATGCTTTTGAATACAGACCTAAGGTTGGTATATTTAGAAAATTGAAAGCAGCATCAGAAAATGAATGTATAAAAATTATAGAAGTTTATGTAAACTAATTTACTGAAAACCATATTTTATACATTTTATATATATATATATATATATATATATATATTAGGGCTGTGCAAAAATTAATTGCGATTAATCGCATCCAAAATAAAAGTCTGTGTTTACATAATATATTTGTGTGTGCTGTGTATAATTATTTTGTATATATAAATACCTATGCATGCATGTATATATTTAAGAATTATTTGTGCTTAAATTCTGTATATACTTGTATATATAAATACATAATCTATATTATATAAATATAATTATTTTATATATGAATAACACATTTTCTTAAATATATACATGCATGTGTGTGTGTTTATATATACAAAATAATTATATACAGCACACACAAATATTTTATGTTAACACAGACTTTTATTTTGGATGTGATTAATCGCAATTAATTTTTGCACAGCCCTAGTATATATATATATATATATATATATATATATATATATATATGTAAAAAAATGTGGACTCTAAAATTGTTAGAAAATCAAAGTCATATGTCTAGTTGTGTTCCAAGTTTGAAGTTGATATCACACAAATTGAGCTCTCTAAAAGGGGTTTAAAGTGCCATATCTATGGTAAAGGAAAGTCCAATTTCATAACATAATTCATTAAATGATTAAGCTATGATGATTACTAAAATATTTGAAAGGGGGGAAAAGGGCAATAAAAAAGCAAGCCAAGTGTCCCTTTACTGGCACACAGGTTCAATTCTAGAACCGGTGTGGAATTAGATTTCTTAGAATCACACTGCACCCAATTCATTACTTACTGTCAAGCCTTTAAAACCTTTTCCAGACCACAGCCAAATCACCCTCTATATAAAACAGTCTGAAACATCAACCAACTCTATCAGGACAATGAACAAAATATAATTCAAATGGACAGAAAACCATATTGCTAATTATACCAATGCCATTGAATCTACAGAAATACTGTACAATCTCTATTATATTCATTCCAAGTTCCTATTCGGCATCAGTTAAGCAGTGAAAGTGAAAATCTAAATTACATATTTTACAAAACATAACAACAAAGTGATTTGAGAAATTGACTCTGAAATTGGAATCTGGATGGTTTGATTTAGACTGTAAGGCTCTGAGAAATCCTACCAGAAAGCTCAATCAAGCTCAATTTCAACAGAACCAGTTTGAAGAAATTAAAAAATAAATAATAAATTCTGGGATAAATGAAATACATTAGTAAACTAAAACTAAGAAGATCCCAGGTAGATAGATGTGGAATAACCATTTCCAATAATTACTTAGCTCAACTGAAATTCAAAATTCTAATAATTACAGAAATAATCATAGAAATAAACCCCTTAGATTTCCCCATAGCAGTGAAAGAATTGTAAGATATTTAAGAAGGCAAGTCCTCAGGCACAAGACAGATTTTTCAGTGATGTTCTGTGTAGCTTTTTGTTTTTGTTTTGTTTATTTGTAGATCTGGTATCTTACAAGAATTGAGACAAATTGGACCAAATTGAGACAAAACTACTTCCGAGGCATATGTATGAACAGTAACCTGGGAACGGTTTTCTGCCCCATTTGGTAACACTTTATTTAAAGGGGTGTGCATAACTGTCATAAACATGACATAACACCTGTCATGAACATGAAGTAGTCTTTATGAATGTTTATGACTGTTGTCATTAAGTGTCATTCGGTAAAGTATGACACTTTTAATGCAAATTTGACATTGTTTGATATGACAACTTGACATTAACCAAGAAATCATAACCTTTCACAAATATGTCATAACAGGTCTAATTATCAAACTTAAAGAAGTTATTTAGCTTTGTGTTAACATTACCCTGTCATATGTTATGGTTGGTTTTAACTTTGGTTGTCGTGACACCAATATAATTGTGACATGAATATTGTACTTGTCGTCAAGTAAAGTGGAACACATTGTACTAGTTATAAAGGTGTAATTAAGGGTTATTACACTGTCAAATGCTTTAACAACAGTGTCATTAATATTTTCCCTTACCTCAAGTAAAGTGGAACACGTTGGACTAGTTATGATTTCTTGGTTAATGCCATTTCTGTCTTTGTTAATGCCAAGTTGTCATAATCAAGACATTTTGTCTTGTTTAATGTCAAGTTGTCATAACAATGACATTTTAAACAATGTCAACTTTGCATTAAAAGTGTCATAATTTACCGAATGACACTTAATGACAAAAGTCATAAACATTCATAAAGACTCATTCATGTTCATGACAGGTGTTATGTCATGTTTATGACAGTCATGTCAGTCTTATGCACAACCCTTCAAATAAAGTGTTACCCAACATTTTAACCACTAGATATTTAGACTTCCTAATGAAGCATTATATGGCAATGAAGTGTGGTGCCTGCCTATAAAATTTGACTTTGTAAACAAAACATCCAATTGAAACTACATTTAGAATTCTGTAAAAGAGTCCTGCAAAAAATGCCAAACGATGAATACAGACCAACAACTGGCCAATACCCTCTTCTTCTAAACATCCAAAAAAGAGCCATTCAATTCTGGAAACACCTAAAGAAAAGTGATCCCACCACCAGGGCCGTAGCTAGGTGGCACCCTGAAAAAATATTGATGTGGGCCCCCTCCACCAATATCGTATATATATATCATATAGAAGATGGTGATGTTGTTGTAAAACGTTTATTTTATAAGTTAGCTCTTAAAATAATAATAATAAAACCAATTTTAAAAAAAGTAATATTTATTTTCCCCATTAGTCTGTTGTAATTCATAAATTAAAAGTAAACATTTAAAAATTGACAAGAATGCAGTCTAATTAAAAAAATTAAAAAAATTTAGTGTCTTATTTTTTTTTTTAATAAAGATAATACGGAACTTGTAATATTATTAAATAAAGCGAATACATTTATTCATCCAAGTGCAATGTGTTGTATTCGTGTTTTCTCGATGTATTAAATATAATCAGCCGGCAGGTCAGATGCATAATGTAATGCGTTTTGACTTTTGTAATTTTTTAAAACTCTATTTACTATAGTGTAAAAAGACATGAATTTAGACCACGTAATCATTCATTTTTTCATCATAAAAAATAACTGTACACGGCAGACTGTAGACCGAAGTTTTCAAATTCCCAGCGAAATAACAATACATAACCGGTCTTTAAGAACGTCTAGATCGACTGGGATACAACCACTCTCCTGGCCTCGTCTTTTCTGGTACCTGATTTATGTTTTCTTTTCCCCGATATTTTCGGTCAGTCTCCTGCTCTTCCACCAAGTTCATCGTTAACTTCAGGCTGCCGCCTCAACTCGGATTGGTTCTGTTCACGAGCTGGGGTGGGACTTACAATTTTATTGGGTCCAACTGATGTTTGTCACTGACTCTGATTGAATAATTAATAAATACTTTTGGTCGGACTAAACCATTTTTATGGAGGTAAGAGAAGCAGATATTTGGAAAAATATTTAACCAAATTGAACTTTTTTGTGGTTTTCATTTAAATCTCAGGCATACAACTAAT